ATTCTGGGAGTTGAAGTCCACTCATCTTAAAGTGGCCAAGTTTGGACAACACTGGTGTAATCCATAAGATTAAATGCAGGCCTGAGCTGTCAGCATTTTTGCTAGTTTTCAGATAAATCATTTGTGCATCCATCTCTGTTTTTTCTGTTGATGATAAGATTGAGTTTCTGCAGAGGGTTAAAAAGGAAAGAGGACTTTAGGAAGTCAGGGTCATTTCTGTTCAGCTGCTTTATTGGGCTGATTAGCGTATATTTTGACAGGCTTGTACATTTGTATGTCTTTTCAGGCAGATCATGGAAACGAGAGAGTAGTTCATACAGTGAGCAGGAATCCAGTCAGGCAGATATGGTAAGATACTACTAGAACAAACCTAAAACTCCATGTATTCTTAAATGTTTCTTGACACAGAATGTCAGAATATAATGAATACAGTAAAGTGCTGGTACTGTATGTGTTGTTAATAAAAAAAGGAAATAAATCTAGTTGCACATTCCTCAACTCATATGGATCAATATCAAATATCTACAAATAGAATGGGGAGATGTTTCCAATTTCTTCAAATAAAATTGTCAAAAGTTAATCATACATGTTAAAGAGATACTGCAGATAAGTGCATTGAAAAGGAACATGTAGCATATTATAGTTGCACCTGTTTTCAGCCTCAAGATTCTGTTCTTATAGCCCATCTCAATAACAGTAGTTTTAGCCTTCCTGTGAGTTGATTTCCTGGTCTGGTCCACCTAGTGGGTATGTGCAAAAAGACGCCTTTCTTGCTGAAGGGCTTAAGAGCAGGAAGAGCTGAAAAAAGCCATTACTAAAATTCTTGTTGTTTCAGCCTGTCCCAATGGAAAATCCGTATAAGGAGCCTCCTAAAAAGTGTATCTTATGCGGTGTAACTATTGACTACAAGAATATACAGGTAAATTACTGCTGACTTGAGTGTGGTGTTGAGTATGTTACAGAAAACAGAGCAAAAATTGTTTCAGGATTGTGCTGGCCTAGAAATGAGGAGACTGTGAGTTCCAGGTCCTCCTTAGGCATGAAAGCCGGCTGGGTGACTTTGGGCCAGTGCCTCTCTCTCAGCCCAACCCACCTCACAGGGTTGTTGTTATAGGGAAAATAGGAGGCAGGAGTATTAGGTATGTTTGCTGCCTTGCAATGACCAAATATATATTTTTTTAAAAAGGCAGGATAAAAACATGATGATGATGATAATGATGATACCACCACAGTGGGAAAAAAAAAAATCAGTGTCTCGGCTGGAACATGCATTGGATAAGTACCTGTAATTGAAAATCTGCATTTCTGTCACAGAGATTAACTTGAAGTGGTGAATGATATGACTGTCTTTTAGGGACAGTCAGTTGAACTAGGGGCCAAACTAACAGTCAGTTTAGTCCCACTCAAATAGTGGGATTTTAGGTAGACCCACACCACTCGAACTGTGGCTTTTACCGGGTTGTAAAAGTGAATAGAAATTTTATTAAGGTCATTGACTAGAATTAAAAGTGTTAATTAGTTAGAATTCAGCCTACCATTTCTATGTTATATAGTCAAATACATTATATATTCCAAAAAGCCCTTAAAACCTGACTTTGGTCCCAGGTTTGGGGTTAATGTGTTTGGGGGTGTAATGCTTTGTTTTAATGGTTGTTTTTTTACTCAGGGGTGCTTTGTTTTGTCTTGTGTATGTTTTTGTTTTAATTTAGTATTTTTTGTGAGCAGCCCAGAGTCTGCTGGAGTGGATGGCTATTAATACATTTAAATACATTAATTTAAAAAACTACTTACCTATATCTGTGTATGAGTATTGCAGCATAACAAATAAAATAGTACAGTATGTTTCTTGGTGGCTACAGATGTAGTTATTCTTAAGGCTTATAGCAGTGTGTAAACCCTCTCTTACTGTTAAGGCTTAGCTTGACAGTTATTGCTTTGTCACCAAACTATGGTTAAAAGATAGCTTAATGGAATACGGCCATTGTGTGAGACTACTGTCTGCTCCCGCTTTTCTGTCTAGTTTGATATGGAGCATTTTACCCACGATGGACCTCTATTGCTACAACCCACTCCCACTCTTTCAAATCAAACTGCATATTTTAATTACAGAGGCAGAAATTTATTCTAGATTTTCAAATAAAATATCATGAATATACATGGATGGAGTCCCTTTCTTCACACAACTATGAAATGTTATCCGATTGTAAATATTTGCTACAAAAAAGTATTAATTTCATTTAATTTTTACTCTTTTGAAGACTTAATCAACTTATTTCTCCAACAGCTTTTATCACAGTTTATTTCTCCATACACTGGTCACATATTGGGTCAGCATATAACAGGTATGTACAAAAAACATTCTTTGGCAGAATTATATCTACTCATATCCAAACCAAATATTGTTCAGTACTTTTAACACAAGGATTGACATCCATTCTGAGCTACACCAGCCCAAATACATGCTTTCTAAAGTAAGAAAGTAGAAAAAAAGTTATTTAAAATATTTTTTTTTATTTTTGAAACAAAAGCTCAAATGAAACTGAGCACTTGATATTGTCAGTGATTTTTCAAATGATTGTTTGCTTTCATAGGCTTATGTATGAAGAAACAGCGTGAAATTGCAAAAGCCATTAAAAGATCCCACGCAATGGGTAAGTATTGTGGTAAAATAGTCATGCATCCGGGTGTTATATAAAACATTTTGTTTTTAAAACTTAACTATTCTGTTGCAGGATTTATGTCGGTTATGTATAAGGACCCAGTGTTTCGCAGCGACCCCAAAATATGTAATATTAAGTATCCAGAATAAATTGTATCAATCATGCTTAATCTATTTTTGTAATTGCACTATGTTCATTACTAGAATATTAATAAACAAGCCATCAATATTTCAGTGACAAGCCTATTATTTCACACTGTATAGAGAGTATAAAACAAATAGTAATTCTTGCTCTGTGGACAAGCGTACAGTGTTATCAGGAGAGAAATGTGTCTCTTAATAGTAAATATCTGATTGCTTCAACCTGTATAGGGTCTGTTTTCTGAAATTACATTAGAATGCAGTTGCTTCAGATGCAGGATAGAAAATAAACCATTTTACCTACTGATATTGTATCCCTACTTTGAATTAGCATCTCTGGGGCTCACTCCCCCAAAATGCAATTTTACTCATTTTAGCTCAGATACGTAACAAGGCTGTAGAAATTCTAAGTATTAAAACACAATATAAAGTGATAATTGTGAATGAAATTCTTAAAGATTGGTCTTTTTCACTGTAATATTGGTTTTAGGGTCAATGCTTCAAAATCAGCATGCTATTTAAAGAAACTCCCATTGCATTCTTAATATAGTTCTCATTAAAAACAAAAACTCAGGTAGGTTCTTTGATTCTGCTTTCTGCCACACTCTCTAAGAGTGAGCCAGTGTTTCTCAACCTTGGCAACTTGAAGATGTGTGGACTTCAACTCCCAGAATTCCCTAGCCCACCATGCTGGCTGGGGAATTCTGGGAGTTGAAGTCCTCACGTCTTCACGATGCCAAGGTTGAGAAACGCTGGGAGTAAGCAATATACAGATTTAATGAGAAAGAGCAATCTGAACATTTTTCCAAGTTGTGAGAAAGATGCTGATTTAAAATGGTATGTTTGAATTGCAAAATGTTGCTCAAATATTCCATGTATTAATGAAGCGCGCTAATGAGAGGCAGCAATGGGTGAGAATAAAAAAAACAAAAACCTTTGCCACTTGAAGGGATTAAAGGCAGTGTGCATCCATCAGTGTGTCACACTTTCTGTTGGTTTGGTGTTACTTGTAACATTTATTTCTTGGTCACGGCTTTCCTGGTCTTCTTGAAACAGTTTCTGAGTATGGTGGAATGATCGCAGTCTTTTGAATGGCTTTGGGCCGCTTGTGTTCACAGTACCTTTTCGCTTCATCGTCTGCCTTGTTTCAGCTTCAGGGAAACTACTTTCTTTGATCATTAAAGTTAACCGGTCCGTTATTTTGATGTTGTGGTCGACAGTGCAGCACTGCTTAGAAATCTGCCTTCCCTTTAAAGTAACCGTGCTTGTCTGCAGCCCAGAATTTGGGAAAAAGTGCTGCAAAGCTTGACAAAGAAAAATATTTTCTTTGGGCTCCTCTGAGTAATTTCTGTTCTTTTCTAACAGAAAACAGAAAGGAAAAAAAAAGTCAGAATAGAGGATACTTCCATTAGATGGAAAGACTGCTATAATAGGCTGAATATGTCAATTGTAAAGCAGCATTTTTTCCCCAGAGTGAAACAGTCTACATTAGACACCCAAATAACTACATAGGGTATATTGTATCAAGGAACAAGATTTCAGATAAAGCTAATTTTTATTTAGTGAGGAACAAGTAGCATGAATTAAGAAGGGTCATCTCTCTTTAACTTTCTGCTACTGACTTGGAATAGTTGGCAAGACAGGAATTATTCTAGTTAGCTTGTTCAGTAACGGACTACAATTTTAAAATGCTCTAGAAATTGCCAAACCCATCTCAATATTTTAGTTGTTTTTTTTACTTTCCTTAGCAAGCTAGATTTTATGTTAAATCACATTTCTGATTAGACGTAATAAGCAGCTAGTAATCTATTTTAAAAGAATGGAAACTTGATTTATTTTTCCGCCTGGTTACTTATGTTACTGCACTGTGCATATAACCAGGACATCCTTTGGTTTCTCTACATTTCTTGTAATATGTACACAAATGCGTGCACACACAAACCCATGTATCATTTGTGAAATCCTTCATTATTGGATAAAAAGTGAAAACCATGTTTTTGGGCTTTCTGTAATATTTAAACCTCTTGTGATATGAATGGATGCTTGTGACAGTCCCCTGATGCACCCGTTAGGTGCCAAGCGCCAACCATGGATGGAGATGTATAAATTAAATGGAAATTGTGGCATGCACCATGATCCTCTCTATAAGCCACCTTTTTCCAGTTACTGTGTTGAACAGCTGTTTGGCAAAATGGCTGGAGCATAACTAGAGAGATAGAGATAAAGGGATATGGAAAAAGGTGGTGGTGGTGATCTTCTGATCCCAATTCTGCTGCAGGGAACCCACAGGAAAACGTAGAAGCAGGCAAGTTCAGGAACACAAAGCATTTGTGGTGGACTATATTAAAGGTTTGTCTGTGCCCTAGCCATTTATTCTCTGCGTTCACTTACCAATTTCACCTTTCTCGTGAGAACAAATGTGGTACAATGGCTCAGAACTTTCTCCTATTTACCCTATTCTGCCAAATAACCTTTTACAACAGTGAACTTTTGCAACATTGCTACACTGCAGCGTCTGTCTGCTTAAAAACAAAACTACGTGGAGATCTCAACACATGAAGGAGCTTACTAAAATGCTATTTTCACAAACAAGTGGATAACTTTGGAAGTGCTTTATTTAACATCAAATAACAATTTTTACAATTATAGCTTGTCCATATTTTGTTGAGGAAAAATAAGGCAGATAACTATGTGGGTCTGTTATAGCAAAACCAGTGAAGAATGTAATAACACCGATGAATTAATTTCTTCTCTACCCAATAAATGTGTATGTTTTAAAGGCCTGGAGGACTTCAGCTTTTTTAGGCACAATAAGCTACCTTACCTGCAGTTTTCTTCTGTTCTTTTTTGCTTCTTATTTCTTGTCTCAGCTGATCTATTTGTGATAACAGATTCTCTACTGATTTTTCACTATCCACTACTTTACTGCACAGATTCTAGAACAAGAGAAAAAGAACACCTGTAAAATGCAAGGTTTTTATCAGTCATTGAACATTTTTAAGTGTAGCTTTCTACTGTTCTTTATAGGAATGGGCAATCTTTTTCGCCTGGGGGCTGCATTACTACCACAATTTGCATGATTTGTTTTTTTACATGCCATTATTTCCAAAACAAATAATGTTATACCTGGCAAAGGTTCTAATAAATGGAATTGGGTCTTTCTTAATCTATGATATCCTACTAAGTAATATTTTGCCTGAATATTTATTTGAGCTGCATTAACAAATGTGTTTCAAATTTTCCACTGCTACTTAAAAGTCACAAAACAGGTATTCATAAAATAAGATCTAACTTACCTTTAGTTCTGTCTGCAAAGTTACATACATTTCATTAATCTTATGAACTTCTTTTAGAGACCCATCTTCATTAAAGAATTCTGACCTTTGATGCAAAAAAAACCTAGCATGTACTATTTTTATTTGTAATTTTCAGAAAAATACAGTACTGAAATGTAGATATTTCAAAATCTAAACATGCAGACTAACGAATCCTTAACTGAAACAAGAAAATGCCATCAGGTGCTTTAGAAATAGACAAGATAATTTGCTAAAGATATTGCTAATTAAAATTCTAGATAAAATTATATCAGGTTAAAGACACAGTTAAAGAGTACAGTGTCAACTTAACAAAAATTAAGACAAACAGTCATCATTTCAAACATCCAACAGTGCCAGCCAACTGGTGGGCAACATCAGTTTTCAAAAGGTCTAGAGAACTATTCTGCTTTAGCAGCTTTTCAAAAAGATATCAGAGTTGATGACAATCTGGCTTCCAGTGAGAGGTTATTCCACAAAGTGTGGCCACCATCTAGGTCCCAAAACAGGCTGTCCATCAGATAAACCAATTCCATTTTGGTCCCATAGTCAGGCCTGAACCCCGACTGCAGAGGACCCATATCAGTGTGTCTCAACCTCAGCAACTTTAAGATGTGTGGACTTCAACTCCCAGAATTCTCCCAACCAGCATGCTGGCTGAGGAATTATGGGAGTTGAAGTCCATACATTTTAAAGTTGATAAGATTGAGAAACACTGATCCAGATAATGCCTTTCCTCTAGGGCACATACTGCAGCTGGAGCCGTACCATCTCAACAGCCTGCCCTAAAAAGGGAAGGCTGGAAACAGGGCAACATTTATCCATTATTGCTGGATCCAAAAAAGCCTTCTTCAGAAGGGGTACATGGGCACCTTGTTAAAGACAGCCAGGGCAGCCCCTTACACCAAGAAGACAGTAACCTCAGTAACCCAGATCTAGCTACTCACTCATCCTGGATGCCCAAAGGAGACACAAAAAGCACAAAAAGACACAAAAGGCCACAGGTGGCAGAGGGCATATCAGAAAGTGTCCTATCCACCTCATCAGATTCCACAAGTTGGCATGAATCCAAGATAATAATATAATGCACTGCCCCAATGACAACTTCACACCCCACCCATATAGAATCAAAAGTCTAGCAACCTTAAGCAACTTTATCTGTGTTTTAAAATCATGAATTCAAAGTAGTGGAAATGAGTTTACAGTGAAGCTGCTGAGAGAAGGACAAGAAGAATTTGGATGCTGAAGTCTGTAGAAGTACAATATAAAAGGAGCAACTGGGATTTTTCATGCTCTGGCACCAAAAGCCACTGAATGCTGAATTCCAACTGAGAAAGAAAATTGGAAAATCGAGGAAGGATAAAGGACTGTGAATAGGCTTTGTTAAGTATTTTACTGTTTAGAATATCCTGAAAGGAGCAGAGCTGAAACTCTCAACAGGAATTTCCTTGTCACACAGTATGGATGTTCTAGAACATTTTGTTCCAAATCCTATTGATACCGAATGACAATGCGTAATGCAAATTTTCTGTAACCTAGGTAAAAATCTACCCAGGGTATTACTGAGCATACCATACAAAATAGGAGAAGATGGTTTTCCTACCTGTGTATTGCGATTGCTTTACAAAAGCCAGAAGAAATACAAGAAGCAGATACAGTTCGATAACCTTGCTGTTCTGCCATTCCTAGATTGGCTACAACTACTGGCACTTTCTGAAGAAGCCTACAGAAAAGCAAAGAGCATAATTAGGGGTATCGCAGGTTTTATTCAGCATTTTCTGTTGCGTATGATAAATGTGCCGTTCTGTAATTTATTCCCAAGGACCACAGGAGTTTGCAGATCTCTTTTCCACCCTTAGAGATCAAAACCTTTCTTTGCAGTAGCAACAGAAATATCAGCTGCTACTGTGACAATGGCAAGGGAGCAAGAGAGAGACATCTGGGAAACGCTGATACCGAGAAGGGAGGAGTACGCTGACTCTATTGACACTCTGTGAGATGCAGCTTATACAAAGGCCAGGGGTGGGGGAGAACCTCTCTGAAATGTAATCCAATGTTACAGACGGATAAAATAACTTGTAGGCTTCGTTTCATCATTTACAATCCTAATTTCTGTCAGTCTCAGTCGATGAATGTGGCCAGAGATGATAAAAATAAAACACATGAAATTTTAATGAAATTTCAACTGAATTTCAACTGAAGCGAATGGTTTTCATTATAGTAAGATTTCTTTCACATTTCAAACAGGGAATTCATAAAGAGAGAACCTAAGTTATCGGGGGGGGGGCGGGTTGTGCCTTCGAGTCAGTCTTGATTCCTGGCCACTGCCATGACTAGTCCCTGCAGTTTTCTTGGCAAGATTTTCAGAAGTGTTCTTCTTCTTTCCTTGCCTCCTTCCTAGGACTGAGAAAGAGGGACTGGCCCAAGGTCACCCAGCTGGCATTGTGCCTAAGGCAGGACAAGAACTCACGTTCTCCTAGTTTCTAGCCTGGTGCCTTCACCACTACACTGAACTGGCTCTCTGTCTTGAGTTACATAATATTAATCCCAGATCACACCATTGTATCGGATTATGCTGTTTCTGATCAGAATTAATACGGAACTGAACGAAAAGAAATCCTGCAGCATTTGTTACTTACCCCTCTTGTGGCTTATGCAATGCATATTCAAGTTTGTAAGTGGATGAACTTGAAGAGGTCACACTGGAAGTGAGTAACAGAAACACAAGACCCTGATTTGACAAGTGTGACTGTAAGTGCTGGTGAAGAAGCTGTTCTCTAAACGTCATTGTCTGGTCAGTATTACGCCTGAGTTTGTACCAACCTACCACATTCTGGAAAAGAAAAGGGCATTCTTTAAAGAAGCAGCTACTCAGAAAAATATTACTTTCAAAGTGAACCTGACAAAAAAGAATCGTCATTAGCATTTTAATCTATGAGTCACTGCAAGAAGTACCAGCAGTTATATCTAACCCAACCTTTTAAAGAAATTCACAAAAGTTAAAAATGTACTACTTGCTCTAGTTGCATATTTATATTTGCAATTATGTACATATGTATTCATTCATCCAATCTATTTACATGGCTGCCCATCTCACAACAGCAACTATGGGTGTCTAACATAAAATAAAAAAAAAAACACAAAATACAAAATAAACAACACGTAATGGCTACTGCAGCATCATACAAGGAGCTGACTCACATTTAGTCCCTGCTCTTATGCCTGCCTAGATTTTAAGCCTGGTTATGATTTCTAATTATTTTTAACAATACAGGTAATCCCCGGGTTAAGAACGCCTGGGTTACAGACGACCCATAGTTAAGAATGGAGCCTACTGTAGCAAAATTCGAGTTAAATAATGACTTATGTTAAACACACAATGATTTGAGTGAATTACACAATATTACTTATACAGTATTATACAATAATGCTGTTCCGGCTTCCATACAAATTCGATTTAAGGACAGATCTTGGGAACAGAACTTGTTCTTAAACTGGAGACTACCTGTACATATTTCAAGGACACTTTTTTGCATTCACAGATACACATTTTAACTTAAATTCTAACTTAAGAATGTTAGAAAAGAAAAATTACATACAGGACAAAAATTCAGGACAAAGGAACATAATGGTTATTGTGGGTAACAAGAAGTATGCAACCTAGGGAGCACTTTTCGGAGTCTGTGTTAATTCAGAAGCAGTTAAATATGCTCCATTCCATAATCAAAGTACGAAAATTCTGATAGTAGTATAATCCCTTTTGAGGAAATCTGTGCAAGAGGAATCTTGGATCTATTCACAAATATACATTATCTGTAATTTTAGGCATACTTATCTGGAAATAAGTCCCACTGACATTGCTGAGACTATGTTACTTATAATTTATAAACTCATAATCAAATCACATAAATCAAACTATGGAGAATTAGATAAGTCTTTGAATAAAATGTTTGTTTTTGAATATGCTCATGCAATGCTGTTAAGTCTAAATGCAAAATACCTTTTTGCACCCTGACAATATTTTCTTCAGCGCTGGTTTATTCAGTTCTCCAGCTGCGTTGTAAAAGCTAAAAATGATAAAATAAGTGGGAAGGAACAGAAATACTGAATTAAACATATTTGCAGCTAGTGATTTGTTAGCGAATGTTTGCTTCTAGTCCTTTTCTAGGATATTTTCTGAGGATTCCATAGGAAATCAAACAGAAAAAAGTAATACAGAAATCAAAAGTTTTGGCCTTGGGAAGTAGACAAGGAGAATCATAAGTGGTGCTGCTCCCTCCAAAACTATTGGATTACAATTATTTTCAGCAAGAGAGTAAATCTTAGCTGTATGTATGTTTCTCTACGGTTTATCTGCAAAGAGATATGGGCCAATGGTTTCGTAAAATAACCATTGTCAATGCGTTTTTTTTAAGGCAATGCAAAAATGATAAATTGGCTGTATTATAAAGAGTTTTTATAATATAATGGGTATACTCTTATGAATACCCAGTGATGGGAAAGTTCATTTAAAATATAAGATTATCTTAAAAATTAAGTGGGACTCACTTCCAGGAAAAAGGGTACAGATTGGCAAATAAATCCCATTAATCTCAATCAGGCGTACATCAAAGTAGACATCTATAGGGCTGCACGGTTTCCTTTCATGACATTTCTGTTCTTAGGATCTGGAACTCTGTATGGATCCCATTACATGGGCATGAAGCTCTCAGTGCAAACAGATGTTGCCATTTAATTTACTGTGAGCTCCTTGAGGTTATCTGCAGATATGATTCTAATTCACAATCAGAGCTAATCTTGCCCCCTGCAGTTTTTAAATGGACCTTATGTTTTATAAAAGGATATACCAATTTTTTTTTTTACCTACCTGAAGGGTTGATAACATGGAATGTGCTTTTGTATATCTGAAATGAAGTAACATATTACTTGTAATGTAGACATGCTTCTGTATGTTCTTAAATTATTTAAAATAAAAGTCATATGAGATTCATACATTATTCATTACATCACTTTGTATTATAATTATGTGAGACTTATACATCCTGGAAAGCTTCATTTAATTTAGTATTTTGTGCAACACATTTCAGGTTTTCTACTAAAACTATAGATGAGCCAAACTTTGTATTAACAACAAGCTTTGAAAGGACAACATGCAGCTGGATTCTAAGTCTTTTTGGAACTTCAGAATTAAAAATTAATGGAATGATGTACAAAAAGTATCTACAATGATGGGGATGGTGGCAAATTTAAAGACATGGACAGTTTTGCATAGTGTAGAACAAACCCATTTGTATCCTAACTTTTATAGTTCTTATGAAGCAGGGAAGTTAAAGATTCTTTTGGAATAATTTTAGAAATGGAAGGAAGAAATAGGAAATGTCACTGTCACATGAAGTACTATTGTGTTCCATTTTGTTCCTTCTGAAAACTGCAGTAAATTAGCACATGTTATTCCCATTTTATTGGTACCACATACTGGTTGTATAATACAAGAAGTTTAAAAAGGCAGATGGGGGGGGGAAACTTGCAAAACTCATTCAGGTGTGAAAAATCTTTCATTCACACATGCTGAAGTATCCATCTGAGTCAAACCTTCTGCCCTAAGTAAAATGCACTCTTCCAAGCTTGCAACAGTGGTGTTTCAAGCTTGAAACAATCCTAGAATGCGTGAAACAGCAGTTTTGCACTTTGATACCAGGCGTTTCCCAAAGTTTCATGCCAGAAATCATTCAGAAGGGAATATTTTGCACCCCTGTCCTGCCATTCAAGTAACTTACCAATTGTATACACAACTTCAACATCATCCATCTGAGAGTCAGTAATGCTGTTCTTGGCTTCACCTTTCACATCTCCAAGCAGAAAGCCTTCCTTTGTGAGCAAAAGGAAACACGTGTCAAACTAATAATATATTAGAAAATTTCAAGATTCATCAGTTCAAGTGTAAGCCTACACTTTTAGAAAATGCTGAGAACACAATTTAAAAGACAACGATCTGCGATAGCAGAGCAGACTGCTAACTTTCAAAAAGATGGCTCATACTTCTTTTTCTAAGTGTCTTGCTCCCTCTATTACTTCATTTTTATTCCTCTTGACATGAAATAAAATTGGAGGCCAGGGTTAAATTATTATATCCACATATAGGCTTGATAGCCAAGCAACTGAAATGAGGTTTCATTAACAGACCTTGGTTAATAATATAATTTTAATTTTTTTTAGAAAGGAAACATTTTATTTAATATGGAAAGAGAGGTATGACACTTGCTCAATATGAATAAGCAGCAAGGATTCGGAAATAGATGCCCAATCATCGAATGCAAATTCTAATTATGAATACTACCCAATATTTGAAAGTCTCCTTCACACAAGAGATGCAACATTTATTACAGGTATTCTGAATCACTCATAAGCATCTTACACTGCATTCATGATGGCAAGGCAACGTATATCAGGTTGTAGGAATACAAGATGAGAAACAAGGAACATCACAACTCCCGCAAATCTACCAGTGAGTGATTCTTGAGTGTGTGTTCTTATGTTCGCATTTGGTAATTTCAGAACCAACACACTCTTCTGCCAGCCTCGCTGGGTGGATTAACTAGGAATGACTAAAATTTAAATTTATTCTATTTTCTTTTGAAGTCCCCAGAGTTGAAGGATAAGGTCATCCAAAATGACACAAAATAGCTGGCAAGCTTTTTTGTTCTTCAGGTCCGCTTAAACCAGGGTTTCTCCACCTGGGCAACTTTCAGACGTGTGGACTTCAACTCACAGGATTCCCCAGCCAGCATACGCTTAACGCAAGCCAGCAACGTCCTAAAGTTGCCCAGGTGGAGAAACCCTGGTTTCACCCGAGCTAAAGCGTCCTTTGTGGGGTGGGGAATGAGTGACACGTGTAGGGACGCGGCTGTGAGCGGTGGGGACTCACAAAAGCAGCGGCATTGCATTGCTCCCTGCAGAAGTCAGCAGGTAAATGACGCAAACGGGAGTCTGTCTTTACAGCCAGAACTAAGATCTGCGCTTGCCGAGGCTGTGTTCAGCGGCATGTGAGGAGAGGGAAATTCAAAATAAAGCACTGTATCCAGCAGCGACAGAGAACGGACCAAACGCTCTTTGTTCGCAACAGGAGCGCTTAATTTTAACACGGGCGCCACGCGCAGGCACTCATCGGCCCTCGGGTCGGAAGCGCCGGGCGCCCGGGTTCCCTAAGGCGTTCAACTTTTGCAGCCAGTCTCGGGTCTGTCTGCAGGCAGGTCTCGGGGTCTGCCCCGGCCGGAGCAAAAGCCCCTGGGATTCCCAGCCGGGGCGGCCAACCCTCACGCAACTCCCGTACTG